GGTATCCTTGACAACCTGGTATATTCCTCCCAAACTACTCGAAACCCAAAGCCGAAGCTTCAAACCCGAAACCCTAAACCCGAAGCCCTCAACCCCAAAGGTGGCAGCCGGAACTTCCCCTAGGCCCTATAAACCCTAAACCCTAAACCCTGAACCCTGAACCCTAAACCCTAAACCCTAAACCCTAAACCCTAAACCCTGACCCCTGAACCCTGAACCCTGAACCCTAAACCCTAAACCGCTTCGATTTCGAGATTTGCAAGTTCCAAATCCAGCGAATCCCTGAAGCCGAACCTTCCCTCAGGGTTTGGGGTTTAGGGTTTTGGGTTTAGGGTTTAGGGTTTAGGGTTATAGGGTTCCTATTCCTTTGTTCTTTTGTCGGCATGTTTTCGACGAACCCTAAACCCAAAACCCTAAACCCCAAACCCTAAACCCTGAACCTCAGGAATGGGCAGGACAGCGGTCGCTGCGTGAGCTGCTGCTCGAGGCAGCGCAGGAGCAGGCGGCGAGCCGACACGCAGCCGTAGACTGATCGAACTGCCCTACTAAGTTTAGGGGGGTTAGGTTTTAGGGTTTAGGGTTAGGGTTTAGGGGTCTTGGAGGTTTGGGGTTATTATTCTTATTGTTATTTTTTTTTTTTGGGGGGGGGGGGGGGGTTGAGTTTAGGGTTTTTGGGGTTTTCGGTTCAGGATTTAGGGGTTTCGGGTTTTGTGTGTAGAGATGACACTGTTCTTCGTCGGTCCTGGCACATCTCAAAGCCGCTGTAGGCCTTGGACAGGCGCCCCGTTGTCCCGCGATGGCTCGGATTCAGCACGCACGCAGGAATCATGGGTTTAGGATTTAGAGTTTAGGGTTTAGGGTTTAGGGTTTGGGGCTTAGGAAAGTTTAGGGTTTAGGGCTTAATTCGGGTTTAGGGGATGGGATGGTCAAATCTCATGTTTTGACCAGCCACTGCACATCATCCTTGTCTCCGCAACGATTTCGTGAAACTGGGGCGGCCTGGGAGCAGCACCCTAAACCCTAAACCCTAAACCCTAAACCCTACACCCTAAACCCTAAACCCTAAACCCTAAACCCTAAACCCTAAACCCTAAACCCTAAACCCTAAACCCTAAACCCTAAACCCTAAACCCTAAGGGGGAGCGGGACACTCGCATCATCCTTCCGAGCTTCTGTGGCCATGTTCGCAGAGCAGAGACCCGACCTTTTTGAGCGCAGCAATGTCCAAGGGCTTCGTCACCTACTTGGTCACCTGCTGCTGCTAGGCCTCACGGCTTCCTTGGTGCTGCTCTGCGTGTCGACGACTTCCATCATCGGCGCCAGCAGCTGGCCCCTTGCCCTCCTACTACACGGCACTGTACTCACGCACCTCTACATGCCCTTTCATGAGTCGACCCACGGCACTTCATTTGAGAGCGCCAGGCTCTGCTACTTTGTTGCATGGCCGCTGGGGCTGGTCATCTTCATGAACGCCGATTCCTTCAAGTGGTTCCATCGTGAGCACCACGAGCAGACGCAAGTCCATGGCCGTGATGTAGAGCTCCCGGGGGCCAATGGATCACTGCGGAACTACCTGAACAAGCTCCTGGGCGGCGAGATGGCGGTGGCCCTCTACCACCTGGGCCGCTCCGCAGCCCTGGGCGAGCGGGCCGAAGGACCCTGGGTTCCGCAGTACGAGCGTCGGGGCGTCGTCAGGTCCGTGAGATGCCAGTGCGCCGTGTACGTGATCATCTCCTCGCTGGCAGTGGCCTCTCCTACCTGGCGATGGTGGGTTCTCAACATCTGGCTGCTTCCGCTGCTTGTGGGACAGCCCATGCTCTGGGGGCACTTCATAGCACAGCACACAGGCACTGACCACGACAGGGATGCCCGGCACACGGCCCGCGTTGTGCTCACGCATCCCCTGTATGGGTGGCTCTCATGGAACATGAACTACCATGCAGTCCACCATATGCACCCGCGCATCCCATTCCACAAGCTTCCTGCCGCGTTCTCTGCTATGGACAATTCTTTCAAGCATGTCGAGAGCGGATACTTTCAGGCCCACAGGACGGTTCTCCGATCACTTGGCTTGTAGGCCAGTGAGCGTGTCTGATTTGAGCCTATGAGAATAGTAAAAGGGGCCAGTTTCGGTAGGGTTTTGTGAACTGGTGTGGCGGCACGTAGTAGCGGTGGCAATGATGTATGGATGGTAGCACTCATAGCAATGATCGCAAGAAGAACAGAAGTCGCAGTACTAACCAGAACAGCAATAGACAAGTTTGACACGAAGAAGACCGAGGTGGCAAACCACAAGCAGGTGGGTTTAGAGGGTCCGTAGGCCTTGCATTTATGGGCTTTATGGCTTTGATGGGCTTTGTGGGCGTTTACAGCCTCATCGGGTTTGGGGCTCATCATCAGAGCAAGAAGATCAACAGCAAAGGCTGAGGGCTGTGGTTTTCCGAGCTTAGGATAGTCCGGAGGGTCTAGGGAGGGAGCTGATGGTTCGACAGAGACAGCGAGAACCTCCAAAGGTAACAGCGACACAAGTCGAGTACCAAGCAACCCAGAACCTTTCGATGAAGGGAACACATAGGGGTTGATCATGGTTAGCAACTCGAGTATGGTTGCTGTCATTCTTGTGTTTTTGTTATGTTCGTCAGGGATCTTGATCTTAAAACCTATCTGCCTGGTTTCAGGGAATTTCGGGCGTCTGGGGATAGGACGGTACCCTTGACTACGTAGAATTAAAGCTAGAGTGCGATCCAGGACTTGATCAAGAAAAGCGTAGGTGTGCGGAACAGCACTTCCCTGGAAATCCTTGCTCGCTGCAGCCGTCAGCTCAAACTGTGCCGGTAGATAGACTTCTGCCTGGGCAGTATGGCCTGGATTCTCGTGTTCCTGTTCATGTCCTGCGTCAAGGCGGCCTGTGCAGAATGCAGAGCCCCTGGCTCAGAAACTCCTAAACCCTAAACCCTAAACCCTAAACCCTAAACCCTAAACCCTAAACCCTAAACCCTAAACCCTAAACCCTAAACCCTAAACCCTAAACCCTAAACCCTAAACCCTAAACCCTACTACGTGAGCCGGGATCTTCCTCCCATCTTTGGAGCTTAGGGGTGTGTCCCAGATCCCTCAAGAGTGACTCCCAAGGCTGACGAATGCGCAGACCACAGTGGAGATGCAACGGACCTCCTCCAACATGTCCGACATTCTAAAGCAAAGCTGTCGCAGACTGCATCCGAGCTGACCACCTCGACTACAACTACGACTTACCATTATGATGTTTGCGAGGAGCTCAAGGCAGAGTACAACATTTCCTCGTTACTTCCTTACTGGTTCTTAGTAGGTGTCTTTTGCAAATGTCTAGGTGGTCAACATAGGGGTCGGAATAATTACGAATAGTCTTCCGTTTTGGTCCCTTATGATAATTATGCTGTATAATAACCCCCCCCCCCCCAAAAAAAAAATTCCTATTTTGATTCTGAAGGCCCCTCTAGTATAGGATCATAGGGGGATATTGAGAACTAGCAAGCGTAAGGCACACTGCGCATTCTTCTTGCAAAGCCTGCGTGGTTTTGCGGTATCACCCTATGGACTGCTGTGTACCCAGAGAGCCCAAAACCCCTGAATTAAGCAATATTCCTCAAACCATATAGGGATCCTTAGTATGAATATTCCTTAATTAAGGGGTATTGGGCTCTTTGGGTACATGGGGGTGAACGAAATACGGGGATCCCTAAAATAGACCCCCAAACAGTAGGATTCCCTTAGAGTTAGGATCCCAAAAAGGTACCCCGCTAATCTCGTAAACCCCCATATAGACCCCTAAACCCTAAACCCTAAACCCTAAACCCTAAACCCTAAACCCTAAACCCTAAACCCTAAACCCTAAACCCTAAACCCTAAACCCTAAACCCTAAACCCCTCATGTCGGAAACCCCCATCTGAGGCTATGCATTCCCAAAGATGAAGCCGTGCCACGGAGTTCCTCCAGCTCAACGCCGCGCGGGAAAAGGCGAGGGCAACGGCGCTTTTTTGTTTATGTTCAAGGGGTTTTGGGGATTTAGGGTTTAGGGTTTAGGGTTCGGGTTTAGGGTTTAGGGTTTAGTAGCCCTAAATAATCCCTTAAAGGGTATATATCGGGTTTAGGGTTGAGGGTTGAGAGCTTAGGGTTTAGGGTTTGTAGGGTTTGTAGGGTTTGTAGGGTTTGTAGGGTTTGTAGGGTGTATAGGGGAATGAGGGAATGAGGTACCCTATATTATCCCTTAAAGGGTATCTACAGGGGCCTACTTCCCTCATTTAAGAACCCAGGGGGAAGAGCCTGCCCTGGGTGGTGGAGAAGGCAAAGGCCAAGGCAGCGTGGAAAGTGGACGTGGCCACTGCAAAAGCATGGTGGTGGTGTGAGAAGCCCCTCGCTGAAGTGCTGATGATTCTATGGGTTTAGGGTTTAGGGTTTAGGGTTTAGGGTTTAGGGTTTAGGGTTTAGGGGTTCTGGAGTCTGGGCTCAGGTGCTGCGCTGGGAGAGGTACGTAGAAGCGCGCGTCTTCCTCCCAAGGCATTCTTGATCCCAATATTAAGATTACAAGCATGCGCGTTTAGTTCCAAAGGTGGCGAAGGAGCAAACTTGTGTTGATTAACCCTAAACCCTAAACCCTAAACCCTAAACCCTAAACCCTAAACCCTGAACCCTGAACCCTGAACCCTAAACCCTAAACCCTAAACCCTAAGCCCTGTGTTTGACAGCCTGCTTGAAGCTTCTCACGCCGCAGCTAAGGCAGTGGTGGTGCCACAATGGCCCGCCCACTCCCCCTGCTGACTGCCCCATTAGCAGTTCAGGCGGGCTTATCTTAGTTGAGGGTGTTCGTGGTACATGCTTTAGGGCTGTGGGGGCAAAAGTTGCAGGTTTCTGGGAGGTGCTTGGGCTTCCGATTCTGCTGAATGCCTGGGCAGGCAGCCAACTCTATTCAGACAGGGCAAGCTTTGAGGCACCGCTAACGGTGGTTCTCGTTGATGGATATGAGTCTTGGAGATTATACAGCCGAGTTCGTTTTTCATGAAGTGTGATTGGGAGGATATGAGCCCAGCATGCATTTTGCAAGAGAACGAACAAAATCAACAAGAAAGAGAAACAACATGATAGATATGATATATATATATATACATACACACCTATTTTGTTTATGTATTTATTTATGTTTGTATTTATACACGCATATATATATATATATATATAGAGAGACATATATATATATATATATAAGTATATGAATATATAAATACAAATTTATTTATATAAATATACAGAAAACGTCATACTGCAGGCCCGAGTTTTATGTACATGCCTTTTCGGGCTCTTTTTTTATCATAAGTATTTGCAACATAAACAATGAGATGGATGGGTTTACGTCGGGAGGGTGGGCTGAGCAATGAGATAGATGGGTTTAAGTATGGAGTGTAGGCTGAACTACATCAGCTACGCTACCTTTAGCCTTTGGTCATAGAATCCTTACTCTATGACTGGTTATAGAAGGGGGGGGAAAGGAAAACAAAAAGGCGGGGGGGGGGGGGGGTGGGGGGGGTGGGGAAAAAAAAAAAAAAAAAAAAAAAAGGGGGGGGGGGGGGGGGGGGGGGTGGCAAACAATTTTTTTTTTTTTTTCTTTCCCCCCCCCCCCTCCCCCCCCCCACCCCCCCCCCTTTTTTTTTTTTCCTTCCCCCCCCCCCCCCCCCCTCCCGCCCCCCTCCTTCTTCTTCCCCTTATAAAATATGTATGTTTACAATATGTATACAGAGAATCCTACTATATGCTGTAACCTTTTTTTTTGTATCTGTATCTTTGCTTTTACTTTCATCCGCACATCCGTCGCAAGGTACGGTCCCCAACTCATCCAGCTCCATGCGCAGGGAGCGTCAGTATATACAGATATACTGAGTCAGATAAATATTATCTAGATACATATATGTACATATAAATTAATAGTTTTACATATAATTACAATGTACTTTGAGAACTACGACTTAACGACATGCATGTTCTTTTGGTAGATAAGCATAAAAGACAAGATTTCTTCCATTATTTAACGATAGTCTAGTGAGTTGCACTGACTGTGACACACCCAGCACAGACTCATGCTTGTGTCAAACCCAACATCTTTTCCGGATAAACGACATATGTTGCTGAGAGAAGATCTGTTTATCGTGAAACGAAATCGACACAAATAAAGATACATATGTGATACTGTCTATTACGCACACACGTTTATACCCACTTCATCCCTGATCGCATGTAGCAACTTTTCACACTCTATAGTGATCAAAACATGTAAACAGGCCCATGTTCGTCGTGGTCCTCGTGCCTGAGCATCGTGGCTGTCCCAGTCTTCAGGGTCTTGCCTGTCTCATCAGACTACTGATGTGTTGCTATATATGACCGCCAAGTAGAACTTGCTGAACTGTCGCATCAACTTTCATACCGTCATCATTTCTCCTCAAGAATAGTTCGGTAGGGACATCACTGGTGCTGTGATATCCTGGTACTTGTTTACTCGTCGATTATGAGCGAGCCGCCTGATGCGGCGTCGCGTGTCGGCGGTAGACCGTCTCCCGATGACTTAGAGAAGGACTTGGAGTCTCTCATGAACGAGGAATCAGAGAGACGAAACATGGGCTCACCACACATGGCTTCTTCAGCTTCAGAGCTAGCTGCGTCTGGATTGCCTCAAGATGCAGCACATCCACCTCCAGCAAAGCGTCTTCGTGGTGCCCAGCTGCTACTACAGCCGCAATATCGCGTAGATTTTGTATATATGTCGTGTAGTATTATCTTGAACTGTCATATATACTCTTTCCATCGTGGGGTTGCATGTATAATGCAATGTCTGTATAAACCTTTCCATGTCACAGCATTTGTTTTCTCTTGTCTTGTTAGACTGCTATACACAATATTTCTGATATCGTCTTATGTGTCCACTGCGTGTTCCTCCATAGACCTCCCACTGTCCTGCCATGGGTTTTATACATTGTCCGGTGCATAACTACCATTGTTGGATCGTATCATGTGTTTCATATCCATTAGCTGTACACATGCCGCTATGGTGTACTGCACTATCATACACACATACTTTTCATTTCCAGGTTCCGTGCCTTCTCAGACCTTCACGAACAAGATCCCCCCGGTGGTGAGATTCCCCATCTTCCTGCTGTTGATCCTGTTCCGCCGCCCAAGACGATTCTCGACATTGTGTCAGAGTATAAGTCCTGGAGTGTTGCCACGCATCCTAACGCCTGTCGTCACACTTGCCTCGTCCTGGCCGTCACCAAGTTTCTGTGCGACATGAATGCCACCAACTACATGATGTCCAATGTTCAGAAACTGGTACTGTTCCTCTTGATTGACGGAGACAACTGGCGTGCACATAAGAGACAACTATTCCACCTTCGTGATGGGGCGTGGGACATGGAAGAAAAATTGAGCTTGGAAGCTTGGGACTTCTTGTCAGCCGTCGAGGGCATCTTTGTTTCCATTGCCACAAGCATCGAGAACTATGAAAAGAACATACTCTGGTCGTGGGCAGACGCCAGAAGCTATGTTTACAAAGCCATCGAAGGGTGCAAACGCCGTGGGGAGCTCGTTGACGTCTGTGCTCGTATAGCGAAGGAACATAGTGATCACGTCCGAGTTGTTACTAGCAACAAAACATGGAAGGCGACATGGGCTCGAAGAGTCGCTGATATGCTTGCTTCTTACAGGAAGGCGTGGGAGACTCAGACACACTCCGTGGTTCTCTCTCGTCTTTTCTTGCAAGACTGCGACATGCCCATGCCAAAATCTCAAGGTATATGCTTCAGTGACATCTACTTGACTTCCAACTGGGAGATTCGCTCCAAGCATGAGGCACAGGACTGTTACGTACGGTTCGACTACCCTTACTTCTACGAGAATACCCTTGCAGGAGACCCGTCCATCAATCTCCCTATGCTCAAAGAAAGGCTGAGACTCTTCCTGACCTCTCTCTACTACAAGAATGAGCATGCTTTTCAAGCCAAGCTATGGAGATCGACTGCAGGGTAAACTATGGTTTCACTACCAAGAGACGCTTTGGTACGTCCATGAAGATCCAGGAACTGAACTATGAGAATGTACCGGTGATTGAGGAAAGCAAGGACATCAACAAGGCGTGCGAGCAACTTCGGAGACGTGTGGTCTGCATTCGCATGGGCACATCGACCTACACGTTGAACCCAAACGAAGTTGACCATGATCGTGGCATTTACCTTCTGATTCCACAAGAGGAATTAGCGTCGGACTTACGTCATCCGGTCACTGCGTCGTTGTACCTCCGTGATTGGTGTCTGCCCTTCTTCAGAGAGAACCCGGTTGGGGAGTGTCTGACAATGTTGCATGATCTGAAGTCCATCAGTGACAAGCTGGAGATGGACACTCAGTGGCTTGCTGCAAAGTTGTCTGGTCGTGATCTAGTTCCTCCTGGGGATGATCGCATGCTGGTCGATGCCAATGACGAAATAGTTGAGTTGGTTCATGCCTCGACGCCGACCAGACCCATTATCAAGGAGTACTTGTTACACAAGATTGATGAGCTCCCAGGCTGTGTTACATCAACTCGCGGTCGTACCACGAAGCTTCAGCGGTTCGTGTCTGCAATTGACCATTCCTCCCTCAAGCTCTTCAGACAAGTGGATCATAGTACTTTCGAGAAGCTGCAGATCAACTGGGCGAGGCTAAAGGAGTCGATGGCTCGACATGGCGGGGTTAACATCTTCGGGGATTGGACTCACTGGACATGCCCATTTGACTTGAAGCACATCATCCAAACATGGGACGGGAATGCATTTCAGGACCATAGTACTTTCCTCCTCCAGCACTGCACAGTCAGAGGAGTTGGTGATGCGGTATTGCGATCGGCTGTCACTAGCCTGGACGAGACTGTAGACATTGAGCGACTCAAAGCATATGCACTTCAAGGAGTGGATCGTCGTCAAGAGATGCTTGAAAGGTACATTGCGCGACACGAGACTGCAGGACTCACGTCCAGTGACGGCATGTCCACCGTTACAGTGGAGTACTATACCCAACCAGGGTACGGTCGTCTACTTGCTAGAGGTGCAGCAGGTCAGAAACTCACAAGAGAGGCTAGAGCCGAAGCTTTCTTCCACTGCTCTGAAGTTGACGCTGCTTGTTGCCATCCACGGCGACTGCAACAAAAACTTTTAGACCTCGATGTCTGGTCCGATGGCAAATACACCATCCTAGCACTCTTCATCAAGCATTACCAAGCGTGGCGCTACTGTGTGGCCGACTACATGGATGTCTCTGTGGATCAGGCCAAAACGGAGTTCATTCGCATTTTCTACGGAGGCAAACCCTCCTGCGAAATTCCCTTCCTCATGAAGCTCTGTGCAGAGGTCCAGACTGCTGCTCTCTCCATTGTTCATCATCCAAGCTCAAGAATGTGGCGGGATCTTTACTCGGATCGAAGGAATCCAGAGTTCTCACGTCTCTCTGGCATTCTGTCAATGGAAGAAGCCAAAATGCTTGAGTCAGTGTCAAGTTTGATGGGACAGGCTATGTGTGTACTGCTGTTTGATGGTGCCTACGTGCAGTGCCGTAATCTACATGATGACATTGCTCTATGTCATGGGATGGAGACACACGACTCCAGGGTGGGGTTGCAGATCCGTCGGTGGGCTCCTTTGGCTTGCAAGTCCGTTCCTCGTCTTTTGGTCCGCCGAGGTGAAGTGCAGTTCTTTCGGACTGAAGATGTCGCAGACCTAGGAAACTGTTTGCTGACGTCCTTGTACTACATGGAAGATGACCTCGAACTGGAGAGCCTCAGTCAGAGCGATCTGCGTCACGGTATGTCCGCTCGGGATTTCAACTACATGACACTGGGCATCTCGCAAGGCGATGACGGCCAAGCTTATCTGCTGGAATGGCTTCCACACGGCTTCATTCGAGAGGAACTTCCGAATGGAGCATTGCTGGCCTTCCATGAGCCCAATT